AGTTGAATAAAATTTATAAGAAATATATATACATACACATTATTTTTCATTTACATGCATGTTATTTGACACTAACATTTTTCTCCATGACCATTACAATAATAGTATACATAAAATAAGATTAAAAACTTGCATGAGCATGATTGTATAATTCCAGTGTTTTTTATTTTTCCTGTTTGATTTTCATCAGATAATGCATTTAACACTCGATACTGGAAAATTGCTGAAAAATACCAAATTGGCTAGCATGAGCAGGATCTTTGCTTATTGTAAAGCTTGTTAATTTGTAGTAAGATTTTTAACACTCATAGTAAAATTCAAATATTGTAAAATTATTGCACTTTATATACTTAGAAAAAAATTAATGTAAGTAAAACTTGAGTTGCTGGTACATTTCATATACTGTTAAAGCTTTTTTAATACATTGTTGTAGGATATCTACTTTATGCTGTTTGACATATTTTTCGAGTACAGTTTTACTGCACAATGATGTTTTGCCATGCTAATACTGAGAGATCACCAGTTTTGGCTGTTGCTGGTCTCACTGAGTTCAAATTTTCTCATTATTTTACTGAGTGCAGGAAATGTTCTTTCTTATTTTATTCAAATTTTGATTTTTCATGTCAATGTTTTTCTTAGTTCATTGTAATGGAGATTGAAATATTGAATGAAAGGAAAATTATTTTCATCAGTATGTAATCTAAAATAACTAATTTTTTCCGCCTTCGCCTTTGTAAGAGTGGCTGTAGTTGTGAATCACTTTGGACTTCCATTAAATTTTGTAGTCTAAGTGAAGCCTCTGTGGCTTTGAAACTTGTATTTACTAGTTTTGTAATAAATTATTTTTTGTCAGTGGTAATATGTTATTGACCAGATCTCTATTCAAGTGCTAAAATAGGCTTAACAACACTAAATATACTTTTGCTTTTATTTAACTTTCCATATTTGTACATTTTTGGAGTAATTGACTTTTACTTGTGCAGTTTTTTAAAAAACCTATCAATTTCTTCTTTCACTGTTAAAATTAAGAAAACAACAGAAACAACTGGAAAAATATTACTACATTATGTTGTGGTTTTGATTGCATTACAATTATAGTTCAGAACTATATTTGTAAGACAGTATTCTTTTTACTGTATTTTATATTATTAGAAGAATTTTAAATACCTAAGTGACTGTTGTTGCTTTTTTCTCACTTCATCACGGCAGTTTTCCTAAACTGGTAACTATAGCTTCATTTAACCCTATCGCCACGGCCATCCTTTACTGGGCATGTCATGAAGTTTTAGTGATTTACATTCAAAATGTTATTAAAGAACTTTTTGTTTATGTTATACAAATTAATATAGCATAAAATCCTAGCTAATAATCCATATTTTAATAGAATATAAGTTTTAATTTCTTAATTTCATAAGTCAAAATTTAAAGAAATCCAGAATATCCGCTAATGTGACACATTTTATGTCTGCAACCTATCTTTATTTTATTCACCACCCTTCTAATAAGTACAAAATTTAATGTAAATTACTCACTATAAAGTTTTCATTGTTCAGACAAACCATAATTTTTATAGCTTTCAATTTTCTTTATTTGCAGAGCCATCAAATGGAAAATCAGACTCCCCTTCCCACACCTACCTGTCACATTCTCTCTTTCAGGATTTGTTAATAGTTCTCTCTTACATTTAATTCTATATTATCTTTAACCAATAGAAAACCAAGATTTTTATCTGTTTAATGACGTATTATATTGTACAGTTTTCTGAATGGAGAATTGTCAGTTTCACTGTTAGTACAAGCTTCATTCCGATGGGAAAGATAATGACTAACTTGGATGATTTTGTAACGGTTCTTGTCGCATAGTTAGAAATCTACAAAAATTGTGATAGGTAGAGGAAATTGTCTACTTTTTGCTATTCATTATTCTATGTTCTTTAGTGCATTATTTAATTAAATACAAATTATTTAGTGCATTACTACCATTAGTGTAAAAAAAAAGTAGGGTTAAGTGTCATTGACAATTGACAGCAAAAAAAACAAAAAAACAAGATTCGGATAAGTACTTTATTTCTTGTTTTTCATGTTTATTCTTTATTTATTATTATAAAACTAACTAAAATGTAAAAAATAGGGATCTCTTTAGGTTAGGTAAAGTTAGGTTAGGTAAAATAAATGATAATAATAATATGATAAAAATGTTTCTTGAGGCATGCACGCGAGCAGCTCATGGGTAGCATAATTCGATAGCTTAAAGTGAGCTGCACATTCCCCGAGTGATTTACAACTTATAATGGTGAAGATAGCAGTTACACATGGTTCAAAGGACAATAAAACAATAAAATTTAATTATAAATAGATGTACACTGTAACAAGTTTAAAGCTACTTAGGATAAACAAGTGTAGTTTGATGTTACAATTTGAAGTCATTCTAGAAAGAAAAAAAAAGGGCAATTTAGATATATTTAGGTTGTGTTTTTTTTTTTGGTGGTTATGAGGTCAGTCAAACTGACCAACTTAGTATAGTTAGGGTAGAGAAAATATCAGATAAAATATAAAATTTTACTGAAAAGAAACATTTGAAATGTATATAGGAAGTTTTTGAGATTATATAAATTGATTCTCAGATTTTTGACTTGAAGAAAAGTATTTTTAATCTTAACATGAAAACTGCTTTGTACACGGATTATGGAAAACAAATACTCGATATATTCATGGAATAATATTTTTTTTAGTTTATTTAAAGACTTCACTAAAAAAATATGATTTTTTTGTATGTGAAAGGCTTATAATGCTTACTGAAAGACTGCCAAATTTTGTGAAGATATACATACTATATTAAAAGTAAGTAGTATCAAATCTATAAAGACTTTGTATGAGTACAAAGAGATCATGTGGTCGGTCAGATCGACTGAGCCCGTGTTGAGAGAGTTAAGTGTGATTTGAGTAAATGTTCTCAGAATAAGGTACTAGTGATGAAGTTTTATTTCTGCTAGGTGGAGCTCACTTATGTACAGAAGAAGTATTACAGGGCTATCTTGGAGCATAACTTTACCTTTCTAGCTAAAGGAAGTACAGGAACAAACGTGCCAAATTTGATGAACACTGTGATGGAACTCAGAAAGTGCTGCATTCATCCTTACTTAATAAATGGCAAGTCTAAACACAGCTATGTTGAAGAGATGATTATGTCTTTGATGTAATTAACTATAGAAAATAACTCGCTACTTTTATATATTAATAAGTAGCTTCCTGAAATTACTGACAACAGGAGATTGGAATCTATCAGATCTAATTATTTTTTATTATCGTTTCACCACCTTATCATGTGTGGAATAATATGTTCATATCAAGTTGTATTTATCCAATTTTCATTTTATTCAGAATAGCCCAAGTAGTTCTTTTACAAATAATATACTTCCATCAATAACTTATTCCTTATTAAGTTATAAGTAAGCAGAATTTAACCATACATATAATAATTTATTTAGGTTTGTATTTTTTTCCTGTTAGAGACTTGTACCGTGAACCATAAAAATGCTTATTCTGTTTTATATTTATTTCTGTTAACAAACAGAATATTAGATGCTATATTGTCATATTTTATTTGATCTGACTTATTAATGTAGTTTTGCTGGAGTCCCACTTGTAAGCAAATATTTGGCTCGGGTAAAAGTAAGTATATGTATTTTTTTATATTCAGGAGCTGAAGAACAGATCTTATATGAGTTCAAAACTGAACATGGAGAACTCCCGGAGGGTAATTTAAATGCAATGATACAGGCTTCAGGAAAGTTAGTATTACTTGACAAACTCCTGCCTCGGCTGCGTGCCAATGGTCACAGAGTGTTGGTGTTTTCTCAGATGGTTCGGTGTCTTGATATCTTAGAAGACTACCTTGTTCATCGTAGGTAAGATGATGGGACTTTACAAGTAAAAATAAAAATAACTTCTTTTGTTGAATTCATAATAAAATGATTTCAATACAGACATGTATATTAACACTTCTAAAACATTCTCTTTATCATCATGAGTTTGTTATACTTTGAGTAGTCAGAAGAAATACTGCAAAGAAACACAATAAATCACTGCAAAAATAATATTTTTAATTATGTACTTAGATCACGTAGAAATGTTCTTCAGAAAAAAACTTTTTCTGAAAGTATAGTTCCAACAAGGTACCTTACTTCTGCTCACATACATAGCTATTCTCGTTCTGTGCTGCCCTCTATTTGCAGAAATTGTTTTGCATATCACAAGCTTTTCATTCCCACGCACCCCTTAATTCACATGGTTTAACCCTATCGACATGGGTATCCTTTACTGTGCATGACACAAGGTTATAGCGTCTTACATTCAAAATTTTATTAAACTACTTTTTGTTTTTGTTATACCAATTGGAATAGCATAAAATCTTAGATAATAATAATAATACATATATTAATAGTATATAAGTTTTGAGTTCTTAATTCTACAAGGCAATATTTAAAAAAATCATGAATTTCCCTTAGTGTGGCCCACGTGATAAATTTTTTTAGCATGTTATCATCCCTATTTTATTCACCACCCCTCGAAAAAGTACAAAATTAAATGTAAATTACTCGATGAAATCATCATTGCTCAGACAAACCATAATTTTTGTAGTCTTCAATGTTGTTTGGTTACAGAGCTATCGAATACAAACCCTTCCTGCCACACCTACCTCTAACATCCTCTCTTTCAGAATTCATTAATCGTTCTCTCTTACATTTAATTATATATTACCTATAACCAATAGAAAGTCAAGGTTTTCATCTCTCAAATGACGTATTGTATAATGTTATGTTCTAATGTTAATTTCACTCAGAGTACCAATATCATTCCTATGAGAAAGTTAATGACTAGCTTGGATGAATTTGTAATGACTTTTGTTGCATAGTTAAGAAGCAGAAAATGTTTGAGAGGTAAGGGAAATTGTCTCGTTTTGCATGTTATTAGTCTATATTGTTTGGTGCATTATTTAATTAAATAAAAATTATTAAGTGCATTACTTTCAATAGTATAAAATATATAGGTTAACTCTCTTCAACAATCAACAGCAAGAAAGCAGAAGATTGGTTAAGTATTTTATTTCTTGTTTTTCATGTTTATTCTTTATGTATAGTTATAAAAGTAACTAAAATGTAAAAATAGGGATCCTTTTAGGTTAGTTATGATTATATTAGGTGAAATAAATAATAATAAAATTATAATAAAAATGTTTCACACCGAGCAGTTCGTAGTAGTTCGTGGGTAATGTAATTCATTAGCGTAACTTGAGCTGCACGTTCCAGAGTGATTTACAACTTATAATGGCACAAATAGTAGTTAGATATGGTTCAAAGGGCAATAAAACAATAAAATTTAATTATAAATAGA